GCCGGCTGTGGCCTCCACGGAGCCGTAGGGTCTCATCGAGGCCACCGGCTCCTACCCCTTGACGGTTTCTCCTTCTCAGTCGGGCGTCACACGCCATCGCAAACAGAGGGTGAATCTGTCAGGCACTTGCATGCCGTCCCTCCGTGAAGCTGCTGCTCCGTGTTTTCACACTGCATCCTCTGGTCCCTAACACTTTTTCTTCCAGTGCTAGAGAGGAAAACCCACCAGACCTTCGTATTGATGTATACAAGTTTGCTCCGGTTTTGAACTGGGTGCGCAGCTGACCTTTACGTGATGGGAATCCTGGCTTTCAGTGGCCCTAAAGCTACATGTTGCACCCCAGTATTTTTGCACTTATCCCCATAAGTTTCATTTCTGAGGTGGTTTTCTTGTTTATACTTGCTTTAGTGTTTTTGTCATCATTTTTGTAGGTGGTACCTGGATACGCTGTGGCACGGCATGTACAGCTGTACGTCTTCCTTCCTCATAGCAGCAAACTGATGTGTTTCTGCCCCGGTTATCATTGTTACTTATTTATGCTGCATAGCGTGTTGGCGTTTCAGGCCAGAACTCAAGTATATGCCAAGCAAGAACACTCAGAGAATGTGTGATCCAACAAAAAATTTTTGGTTTTCACCCCAAAATTGTGGGGGACACCATGCAGTGGTGGGGGTGACTGGGGATCATGTTCCTGGGAACATTCAGAACTGTTGTGGTGTGTGCCAGAGGGCTGGGAAGATGCTCGAGGCGCACTCTGAGCCGGATGCCGGGACACCCAGGCTCTGCTCCCACACCTGCACTGACTGCCCAACACTGAGTCACTCCATGCTATGGCCCAGCCCGCCCATCTGTAAGATGCAGCTGCTTTCGTAATGCTCTTTGCGACACAGCTAAAGAGCTAACAAGGTGTATAGCCTAGAGGCTGCAAGACCACAACTTCTTGCAGTAATGGAGCATTACAAAGGGTGATACAGTCTTGTCAGTACCAAACCCTTTCCAGTGGTTCCGGCATAACAATGTTGTCTGCTTCAGGCCTCCAGAAGGCCTGATTCTGGTGCCAGTGATTGTTCTGCAGGAGGGAAGGTGGCTTTGCCTGGAGGAAGGCTGATTGGCAGAAAAGAAAGACCAAGAATTTATTCTGTGCTCCTTTGTTGAAGGAGATCTGTTAGGCCCACACTGCTGGATGTCCGTGTGATGTTGCTGTGTGCAGATTGGTGGGAAACACCTTTTAAGCTTGGGAGATGCTGCAGGTCCAGCGTTCATGCAGATGGGCTGATCCATGGGTGGTGAGCACTGCAAGGAGCAGCAGCTGTGGCCTGCAGCTCAGATGGTGCATCGGAGGGGGGCAAGGGGAGGTGATGCTTGCCGGATGCCCACACAGCAGCTTAGGGCTGCAGCCAGGAATGGAACTTGGGTTTCCTTTCCCAGAGCACTGACTGCCCTGCTAATGGAGCAGCGAGTGGCTTACAGTGACAGATGTCCCTGAGTCCTGTCAGAAAAGAGGAGTAGCTGACGAAAAGTCCTCCCTCCCCAGGCTGCCGAGATGATACATGTCCTTCCAAATAACAAACTTTCCTCCCTTCTTTCTCCCCAGCTTCTGCCTCTCCTAGCCTCAGGGGGACTCCGGAGGCAGCCCTGGGTGGCGTACAGCACCAAGGAAGAGAACGCTGCAAGATCTGTTGGGCGGTACCCGATACCCAATAAGAAGGACATGCCGTATGACATTGTGGAGCTCATGGAGGAAGTAGAAATGAAGGTAAAGGAGTTCTGCTGCAAAACTCTGTCAGTGGAAAGGGTCCAAAGTCCAAGTAGGTCATATAACAGAACTGGCAGTTCTGGTCCAGTTAGGTCTAATGCAAACCTGATAGGAAACATGTGAGCAGCACTTCTTGCAAAGCTCCTTCCAGTCTACGGGATGGGGATTTTACTGGAAATCCTGCAATGTGTTGGCAGGATTTTAAGTATCCCTGGTTCCATGAGACTAGTGAGTTGTTTCAGATTGTTTCTCATGCACGGGGTTAGCTGGAACTCTGACATGTATTTGTTTTTCTGGGAGAGCATCCGTGTTTACTTGAGACAATATTTACACTTTTAATGAAGAAAAAATGGGAGGAGCTATTTTGATGACAGTATTAAAAGGCTTAGAGGGTATTTTTGTTTTTGAGCTTTGACTTTTTTTCTCCAAAGCTAAATGGGCTACAGAGTGGCAGAACAGTAAGCCTAATGCAGAACTGTGTATAAGGGGAAAAAGAGGGAATTAGATGAGAGTTTCCTTCCCTGCTGTTGCAGAGGAGGAATGCCACACAGTCCTTCCTGACAGCTAAAACACTCCACCAGCCACAACTCCATGGAGACTTTTCTTTTCCAAGAGCTTCCTCTGAGGAGAGTGCTGGTCCATCCCTCCCTATCCTTCCTGCCAGCCTGTTGAATCTCTGCTCTGCTACCGTTGCAGTGGCCCCAGCAAAGTTGGCATAATAACGAAAGAGTCAGCAGGCTTGAGGGTAAATATGATGTACAGAGGAAGAGTCAGCTCAATTTCACATGCTGTGACGCAAACCCCTGTGTGTCAGTGCACTGAAGGGGTCAGCAAAGATCTACATATAGGATCCAATCAACTTAGCGGACTTGGATATCCAAACAGTGCTGCCAACCTCTGTTGCCAGAGGTTCCTAAGTAAACTAATGGGTTGTCGATGAAGAGGGAAGAGCCTCCCCTTGGTTAACTAACAGTAAACAGACAGGTGAGACAGGAGGAAGGCACAGGCAATTGTGTGGCAGCAAAGGGAGGTTGCCAGAGGGATCTGTGATACCTGGGCTACTCTCCTTTTCCATAAACACCCTGAAGAACAGCAGCCAGTAAGCTGATGGAGCCTCCGGGCAGTTAGCACAGTCACAGCAAACGCAGACTGTTTAGAACTGCAGTGGGCAGCCAGGCACTGAGGGTGAACCCCTGCTGCTAAATGCCGACTGCTGTGACCCAGGCACAGGTGGGTGCTGCGTCAGCTATTCCTGCACGTGAGAGACAGCAAGTGATTCTCTGGGAAAGGCAGCCCTGCATGCCATCACAGAGATCGACTGGGCATTGGCAGTTATCAGGGGCAGAATGGGGAGAGAAGTAGAGCTGCGTCGTTGTGCCAGCATATAGGTCCACTGTGTGCCAGCTCAAACGGTGTGCTGTTCGGATTGGGCCGGCCCTGCTTTGCGTCCTGTAAGCTTGGAGGAAAGAGGAGAGTTACAGAAGGTTTAGGATGGTCAAATGGGCATAGCAGCATCTGTGCAGGGAGACCAAGTGCAGACAGCCACTCACTTTAGAAAGGAGCTTGCTGATGTGACTGGTCATTACTGCTGTGGCTGAAGGGAGCAGGGCAATCAGTCATGTTGTGAAACTGCAGCAACACCTAATTAAGAACCACATAATTCCATGTTCAGTCATTTATAAATGGGCTCAAAGGGCAAGAGAATGGGTCTGCAGAGATTCCCCAGCACTGCTGTACTAACAAATTGTTCTCTAAGCCTAGTGCATTAATGTCGCCCTCTGTGCTCTGTATTGTTACAGTTCTTGCCTTGTTTTTCTTTTGCCTTGAACAGACTGGATTTCTGCCCAATGTGTTCAAAGCCATGTCTCACCGACCTGCTGAATTCAGAGTTTTTTTTGCTTATTACAACACCATTATGAACAAAGACACAGGTAAACCATACAACCACCTCAAAACTGCCCTTCCCTTTGTAGATGTGAAAGGTTGCTAGAAGTTACATTTCTGACATCCTCAGATATATTGCCTTCTCCCAGCCCATAATAACAACTGGCAGAGGCTGGAACTGTGCAGCTGCTTCTGGCTTCGTATTGCATACAGCTTCATACTCTTTAGCTTGTGGTTAAAAAGCAGCTCTCAAGCCAAGCTCTGCTGCCTCACTGCACTGTGCTCTGTGTCACAACAAAGGAAGGACAGGCTGCTGCCTAGGGGAAGATGAGCCAGGAGCCGAGTGTGCTGGAAAGGCACAGGCAGAGGCAGTGGTTTCATGGGCAAGGCTGCAGCCCCACACTACCGGAGCAAGGCGAGCAGGTCTGGCAGTAGTGACCAGGACCAGCCATGAGTCTAGATTTTCCAGGCAAGTCCATGGGAACAAGGCAGATCCAAGATCAAGCCAGAAGGGCCTGCGGGTCAGCCAGGTTTCAGACTAGCAGGGTTACACAGCCAAGTACCGCAGCAGCAGCGTGGCTCAGGTGAAGTCACAGCGAAGGGCCCAACGTCAAACAGCTCCAAGGGAGGGGCAGGTCCTTGCTGAGCCTGCCTGCAGCTCTTTCTTACAACAGTTCTTAGCGATGAGCTGCCCACGAGCATTGCACAAAATTTGTGTGAGGGAGGCTGTGCCCTCTGGGCCTTGATGCACTGCGCCGGGTACTTTGAACCCGGGGGTGTCTGTACCCTGCAGCAGCAGGGAGAGGACTGAGGCACTTGCTGGGATGCCTGTGCAGCAGGCGGCCTCTGGGTGCCCCGGCATGGAGATGAGGGAGGGCTGGCTGCAGCAGCACCATTGGGCAGGGCTGTAGGGAACTCTGCACGGCTTTCCAGTCTTTGAGGAAACCCAGTTTGCGGACTGCCTGTTCCTCCCTCATCCTTCCTGTGATACAGGGCACCGAGCTGCCTGTTCTCACTGCTTTTGCTCTGAAGGTACATTAGTAAAACCAGGATTTTGTAAAATAAGCTGGTGCGTGTAGACTGCTACTCCTGCTTATGGGAAATGAGGGCTCAGGAGGAGTGTGTCAGCAAGATCTGGAGGCAGTAAGGAGTGCAGCCTTATGCCTCTCCACATGGTAAGTGCAGTCTCTGCATGAAGCTTTCTGCTCTGCTTGTGCTGCTGCAATGAAGCCATGCCCCTAGCTGTATCAGGGTCTGGTTTTCCCTTCTCATTCCCATGCTTCCTTTTTGACTTGAAGAGTAGGACTGTTTTGGATCCCATCCTTTTCAGCATCTCTCCTGCAGTATCATGGTGTTGCCACCTTCTGGCACTGAACCAGAACAAGAAGGCCTTTCTGAATCCTCTTTACTCAGGAAGTTTTAGTAGTGTCTTCCATGCTCTTAGAAGACACTGGTTTTATGGAAATATTTTCGAAGTCCAGTGAAGCTTTTGTGGGGAGAAGGAGGGATTCTGGCCTTCTCTGTGAAGTGTAGTTTTGAAAAAACCTTGCTGCTAATTTAAAAAAGGCAAATAGCATGAGTGCTGACACATAGCCACGTAAGTTCCTCAGATCCTGTGCACAGTCCTGGTGTGAAGCTGTTCATGAAAATGATTAGCATTGATTCAGAGTATAACAAAGCACAGCCTTCTTTTCCATGGCTGCTTTAGAGCAGTCACAGGGCTAGACACTCTGTAGAAGTTGTGGTTTGTCTGTCTGGTGGTCACCAGAAGTTCGCAAAGCCCCAGTCCTAGGGTAACTCATTGTTCCTTTTGTTTTTTTCTTTCTGCCTTCAAAAGCTGCCAATAATGTTTACTTGCTGAAACCTGCTTAGCGGGTTTTAGAACACTGCACTTTTCTGTAAAAGCAGCAATAGAGCATCAGAGGAAGAACAGACAACACCCTCCATAGCCATTTGCCTCTGAGACGTACACAGAGAAATACTAACCGAGCTTCCTACTCGGTGAGCAAATAATTTTGCTCCTCTGAGTTTTCCTGTCATGTAGAATGGTTGTTTCCCTGTTGACCAAATCTGATGTCCCTCACCCTAATTAGGTGCCTCATGAGCAACTATACAGGTAGATTGTTCGCACGGATGATCATAGAATCACAGAATGGTTTGGGTTGGAAGAGACCTTTAAAGATCATCTAGTTCAACACCCCCCCTGCCGTGGGCAGAGATATCTTTCACTAGATCAGGGTGCTCAAAGCCCTATCCAACCTAACGTTGAACACCTCAGAGGTGGCACATCCACAACTTCTCTGGACAACCCGTCCCAGTGTCTCACCACTCTCATCGTAAAACATTTTCTCCTTATGTCCAATCTAAACCTACTGTCTTTCAGTTAACACCGTTACCCCTTGTCCTGTCATCTATGAGCTTTGGTTGCAGTGTTTCCCTGCATGCTCTCTGGAGCTCTGTCTCCTGGGCTGTACTGCAGGCAGCTTGTATCCGGAACCTTCCCCTCCCTGTTTCCCCAGTGATGCTTGCTGTGGTGGACATTTTTAACAGCAAAGTGTGCCAAATCTTTTGCTATCCCTGTAGGGCGACTCAGCAAGGCAGACAAAGAGCTCATAATTGTGGCTACAAGTGTTGTGAATAGATGTCCCTACTGTGTGGTTGCACATGGAGCACTTCATCGGATATATTCCAAGCAGCCAGCGCTGGCTGACCAGGTCAGTGGAGTTATAACACCTCCTTCACATGGTCCCCTGGGAGGTGGGAACGGCCCTGTCATGTGTCTGCTTTCTCACCTGAAGTTTTGATCCTTAACCTGTGTTTTGAACCTTTGATCTATGTGGTTCCCAGCAATCTTGAGCAATGTCTGGGGCCCTAAGTCAATACGTGGCTTACTAGGTTTATTGGTGAGCAGTCAGACCAGTAGCCAGTGGGGGTAGGACCTTGAGGTGGGGGTCTGTGTATCCTTATCCACCTTCCAAGCAAGATGCGGGGAGCGATGGTTGACCTGCAGAGCATTCATCCTGCTGCCCACATTCTTTGCTGTTTTAATCTGATCTGTGGAGTAACTTGCTACCAACGTCTGGTCTGTGGAGTAACTTGTTACCAACAGGGAGCTGAAGCATCCTGGCATCATTGGGTCCTGTTTCAAGAACTCCTCCATAGCCTGCTCAGCAAAACTGCCACAGTGCCCAAGATGAGATGGGTGGTAAAATACATGAGCTTGTTGTCTGATGATAGGCAGGACGTCTGGTTCAGGTGCTAAGTAAGAGCCTGTGTACTGCCACCTCTTTGGTTTGCAGAGCAAAGAAGGTCGTCAGCCAGTTAGTCTGTTTGCTGGGTCCATCTGTACTACCTCTGGTATCTGCCTTTTCACAGGTCATTGTGAACTGGAAACTGGCTGACCTGAGTGACCGGGACCTGGCAATGCTGGAGTTTGCTCTTGCAGTTTGTCGAGCTGATAACATCACTGAAGAGCATTTCCAGAAGCTGGAGAAGCATGGTTTTGACCGTGAAGATGCCTGGGACATAGGCATGATTTCTGCTTTTTTTGCTATGTCTAATCGCATAGCCCATTATATTGACCTGCGCCCAAACAAGGAATTCTATACCATGGGCAGGATGCCCCATGGAGAGAAGGAGGAAGCTGAGCATGCCTGACGTGGCTCTCTGATGCCTGCGCATCTGAAAGATTGATGAAGCTCTTAATTCTCAAGCTAGCGTGGCTTATTTCTGAATGTATAAAGGGGTTAAAAAGTTAATGCCAGATTGTAGCCATGAGGCATAGTGGGCTTCCCTTTCCCTCAGTGTTTTGGCTGACTCCGGTGCTTCTGTGCTCCTGGCACAGCTGGAAGATCGTAGCTTTGGTCTCGCCACTGGCTGTGCAGGTAACAAGCTCGCTGGGGCACGGTGTGACTTAACACAGCTGTTCCATGCGTTCCGCCAGCTCCGCGGTGTGAGATCTAATACACTTCATTACGGCCAGGTGCTCTGTACGTAATCTTCGCGGCTGGCAGGTTACCGGCGCTTTGCGGTTCCCTGGGCCCCCGGAGGACGAGGAGATCGCTTCTTCCCGGCCTCCGTCTGCGCTCCGCGGAACGCGGCCTCCGCTGGCGGGGGAGGGGGAGGCGCGGCGGTCACGTGGCCCG